TTCCCTAAAAGCCGAGACTGTAAATTCCAAAAAGGCAAAGTTTTTCCCCCCCAAAAAAGCTAAAGAGGATAGAGAGAAACACTGTTAACTGATGATGTATGGAGGGGATTATAATCAATGTAATGAAACAAGTCATATGAATGGTTAAGTGTGAAACTGATGATGTGCCCTGTAAACTTTCACTCAATCCACAATAAAAACCTTAAAAAAAAAAAAGAAGAAGAAGAAAGGGGCAAAGTTGCCAACAGTGTCTCCAGGCCCCGAAGCTACAAATAAAGCAAGCACCAGCCTTGTCTGCCCTTAGCAGCTTGTCCTCTGCAAGGATCTGTGTGGGGCTGTCCCCACCTGTGGAACCCTAGTAGAAGCAGCCGAGCCGGGAACTGGAGATGGCAGCCTGTGGACATCTCAGCCTAGAGTCTAGCAGTCTCAGGGAGCAGCACCTCTGTCTGCAGGCACTTGTGCAGAGCTAGCCAACTCTCAAGTCTTTATCTTCTGCCTTTGAGGTCTCAGAAGAGGCAGACCTGAGCCCTACCTGGTACCTCTACCCCTTTAAGGACCACCTTTATCAGGGTTGAACACCTGCTTACCCCTTGTGGGTCTCAGGTGAGAGAGTGAGAGTGAGTGGGAAGGTGTGGGATGTGAACAAACACAGGAAGAGATCAGGGAGACACTAACTCAATCTTCTTCTGTGGTCATGTTGCCCGCTGGTCCTTTACCTCCTAAATCTGCTTTATCACTTGCCCAGGTAGCCTATTTGTCAACTGTAGCCTGCGTAAACATCTAAGGCCAACAAAAATATGAAAGAATGTGTCTTGTGCATCATTCCTCCCCAAGTGCCCACCATATAGTCAGTCTCAGGAATGGGAGCAGTGAGTGGGCCAACCTGGGTTGGGAAGGGAACCCGAAGAGAGTTCTTAGAAACAGGTTAGCTGGGCCCCATGGACCTCTTGGAGGTCAGGTCAGCTCTTGACCTCTTTCAGGAGAGCTTGCTCACATCATGGTTTGAATTCCTTTGAGACAGTATTAGGGCCCAGGATTCTGAACTGGGTATCTCAGCCACAGAGCCTCAGGGTCGGCCAGTGGAGGGGGAGAAGGAAGCTGCAGTGCCTTCTGCTCTGTCTGGGGCAGTGTGGGGGAAAGGGCACCACGAGAGCCGGGGTTCCTTGTCCCATCACGTAACCTCTCAGAACCTGTAGGTCTTCACCTAGATATTAGGGACTGTCAGAGTTCATGAATTCTGATGTCAGGGGCCTGAGTTCTCTGACTTAATGGCTCATGTTGTTCATTTGGATCTTGCCAGAGTCAACCATCGACCTCACTGTTCCTCCCATTGTGAAGCTGGAAAATGGCAGCTCAACCAGCGTCAGCGTCGCTCTTCAGTAAGTACCCCACCCAACTCTGTCCTACTCATGCAGCCCAAGACTAGTCCAGCACTGGCCCTTGTTCACTCTTTCTCAATATTGAGGCTCTTCTTAAGTATGCGACAAGTCATAGAAAGACAGGTGCTAGCCCCAGGCTGCAGACCAACTTCCCAAAGTCTGTCCCCCATCCCTCTACTGGTTTCTTGTTTTTAGTGGGAGGAGAAGTAAGGGGGGACTTCTCTCCAGAGACCTGGGCCTTTTCCTCAGGTCAGAAGTGACCAGCAGCTGATGCCAGACTTCAGAGTGGTCCTTTCCAAAGTCTGACCTATTTGAGGACAGTCCTGAAAAGCAGGGAGACTGCTCATAGAGCTCAAAGCAGAAGTGATCATACAGCTCATGTCACATTCATGAAACTCTCATTGTTTGGCCTTTTGTCTTGCTGACCTTGCTGGTTTGGGCATGAGGGTCCTGGCCTTGTCCAGACTTTACCAGAGTGGTGTCTTTCTGATTCTATAGCTGCGGGGTCCTGCTCTTGCCTCCCAACTATGAGCATTCCCTAAGATGAAGATTTGGCATCCAGTCCTTTTCTCCTTATCCTTTTATCCTTTTTCACCTCCCTTGGGACTTCAGATCTGACCTCAAACCAAACCTTGGTATGACACTCAACACTCTTGCGATTCCATTCCTAGCTCCTATCATCTGTGTCCATCAACACCTTGTCATCCTTACAGATCATCCTCTAAGCCCAGATGTGAGCCTCCATCTCCCCGCTCTCTAGGGATGCCCTGCCCCCTCATACCCTTTATGGAAGCCATTCTATGAGTCACATTCTCAACTTCCCACAAATCTCTGTTCAAACCTACCCACTTCTGGATGCCTCATTTGGCCTTCGTAGCCAATTCCTAGTTTATGTCATCACCCTACCCCTTGGTCTCATCTTGTCTCCTGATAAAAGATAGAAATCGTCTAAGAAGTAGTGACTCCACCTCTCTTCCCTGCAGAGTGAAGCACATAGCATTTCCTCATTCTAATGACTTGAGAAATGACAGACCCAGGGTGAAATCCTGAGGGTTGGATAAGATGTCATAGTGCCCAACTTCTTAGAAGTAATCAGACTCTTGTCCCTCACAGGCATCCGTTAAATGCAACTTTGGTGATCACTTTTGAAATCACATTTCGTTCAAAAAACATCACTATCCTTGAACTCCCAGATGAAGTAAGTAGCATATCTGACTGATGGGTAGGGAAATGCTGAGCAACAAAATGAATTTTAATTGAGAACTTATAGAAATAGCCATGTTATTTTTATACCCTGGGCTGCCCCTGATCATTATTCAAGTTTGTGCTTTTGGCCTTTTGACTTCATTGGAGATGCATGGTGTATGCCTTTCTCATATTGATGGAATTAGGAAAGCAATGGTAGGAAATATGAAGCAAATTGATTCTGAGAATGTGGGAAGAAATTCTTAAGATGGTTTTCTAAGATCTTGCTACTCAAGGGCATTCCATGGACCAGCATGATTGGCCTTGCTTGGAAACGCCTTAGATTCCTTCCCAGACCTACTAATTCAAAATCTGCATATTGCCACAATCGCCAAATGTGGAAGTGTATGAAGCACTGTCCCGAGAGCACCATCGGTTGGGGTAATTTCCAAAAACAAATACCAAAGACTGTCTAATATAATGATAGCTAGTTACAGCTTTTGGAGAGCACAGTGATTCTGTATGATAAGCACTAGACTATGAACTACAAAGTGAGTGGTTCAAGTCCAACAGCCACACCACAGGAAAAAGACGAAGCTCCTGCAAAGATTTATAGCCTTGGAAACCATATACATGGTGCTAAGAGGTAGAACCAACTTGACAGCACTTAACAGCAACAAGTCATAGCTTTTGTGTATTTATGTGTACCCTGCTTCCACATTCAAGTGCCTCATGGTCAAACTGGTAACACATTTGCTGCTAACCAAAAGGCTGGAGATTTAAGTCTACTCAAAGGGGCTTTGGATCAAAGGCCTGGTGATCTACTTACAAAAACGCAGCCATTGAGAACCCAATAGAACACCGTTCTACTGGGGCACGCATGGGGTCACCTTGAGTTGAAATAGCTTGACAACAACTGTTTATACTTCCACAGTTCCAGGGATTTGAGCCAGCAACCATTTAACTGGATATAAATCATAAGGGGGCACCAATGCACAAGTAACTTATTGAGAGAGTAGGAACATAACGTCCAAACCCACTGCCAACTCATAGCGACCTTACCTAACAGAGTGAAACTGCTCTGTACGGTTTCCACAACTTCAGTCGTTGTGGGAGCAGACAGCCTCATCTTTCTCTCATGGAGTAGATGATAGGTTTGGACCACCAACCTTTTGGTTAGCAGTCCAACATTTAACCTACTACACTACCAGGGCAAAGGGTGCAAAAAAAAAAAAAAAAGCCAAGCTGCATCTAGGAATGAGGTGATTACCCAGGAGGCCCAGATCCGCTGTGGGCTCTCTAGCAAGCAAACAGTACTGAAGTGTAACCAGTTACAAGAGTTTGAGAATCTATGATCTTTAAAATAAGGCATTCTGTATGAGTAAAACTTGAAAACATTATGCTGAGTGAACTAAGTCTAACACAAAAGGACAAATGTTGCATGATCCCACTTACAAGGGGACTTCAAAAAGTTTGTGAAAATTTTTCATTATCTTTTAATTCCATTTTTTCTAAGTACTTTTTGAAACCCCTTTACATATGAAATAATCTAGAATAAGCAAATACTTACGGCACTATGGGATAAAGCACTGGACCGCAAGGTTGGTTTGAACCACAAGGTTGGCAGTTCAAACTCACCACCCACTCCTTGGAAACCTTTTGCAGGGTCACTATGAGTCAGAACTGACTCGACGGCATTTAACAACAACAAAGTTCGTTACTAGTTACAATGAATGAGCAAGTGGGAGAAAGAGGATCTAATGGATCTGTTTTCAGCAGGGATTTAGCGGGTGGCACAAACACTTAAGTATTTGACAGCTTAACCCAAGGGTTGGCAGTTTGAACCCACCCAGAGGTACCTTGGAAGAAAGGTCTGGTGATCTGCTTCCAAAGGTCACAGCCATGAAAACCTTATGGAGCATCTACTGTGACACACATGGGGTCACCATGAGTCAGAATCAACTCAACAGCACCTGATACTGATACTATAAATATGTAAACAGGTTGGGAAAAGTAGTTAAAAATAGAAAGAAAATAAAGTGATGGGAATGCAAACTAAAGCCCTGTCATGAAGATGGGGTCCAGCAGTGTGGGTGGGGGCAACTCCACCCCTGGCCTCTGGGAAGCTTCCAGGCCATTGTGCAGGAGTAGTGTAGGAAAGCCCCACAATGACATGTAACTGATTTGATATTGAAAGTGAAGTGTCATGCTGTAAAAATAAAAACCTGGTAGTATTGTGGAAATCCCCAGAAGACTTTTGAGCCCAGAGCAAAGAAGAATGAAGAAAATTTAAGACACGTGGAAATAATTATTCCAGAGTCCTGATGGACCCCATGAACCTCAGTCTCCACCACCCCTGAGACCAGAAGAACTAGATGGTGCCCGGCTACCCTACTGACTGCTCTGAAAGGGATCACAATAGAGGATCCTGCATAGAGTGAGAGAAAATGTGGAACACTCAAAATCATAAAATAGACCAGGCTGACTGGTCAGACAGAGACAAATGGAATCTTTGAGACTTTGAGATGAATCTGTCTGGAGATGAATCACTACTATGGTTCAAGTTTCAGCCAAATACTAGGGAGCTCTGCGTGGTGAACGGTAGCAATGGGGAGGAGGTACACACTCCTCAGAATAGTCAGCTATTTGAGATGAAAACATTTGTCCAGGGACAAAATTCCAGAAGGCTGGAAGAGATAGAAAAGGAGGAATGGAAATGGAATAGGATCTTCCATTGTGGGGATTGCAGTCAATGATGTGAAACAAAATGTGTATGAATTGAGTAGGAAACCAATCTGCTTTGTAAACCTTCACCCAATTCTAGAAAGTCCCTGATTTGTGTTGTTAGGACCAAAAAGCAGTGCTTCCAGATTCATCATTAGGGAAACACTGAAATCCAGTCAACAGCATCCTCATGGTACTTTTGAGGTGCAGCTGTAAGGCTGGGATTCTCTGGGTATCCAGCAGTATGGGGGGAGGGTGGGCCCAGAGTCACCCAGGTCATGAACAGGTTTGGGTGGTGCAGTTTGATGCATTAAAGTTACTATCCAGCTCCCTGCCTCTCTGAGGAGATATGAGGGAGCTTCAAAAAGTTCATGGAAAACTTCCAGGATCTTTACATCCATTTTCCCATGAACTTTTTGAAGCCCCCTTGTGTGAGAGTATCAGAAGGAATGAAGGAGAGAGCTGTGTTGCAGGCAGACCTCCCTGTGTTCTTTCTTGAAACAGAGCTCTTTATGACTGTTACTGTTAAGTGCCATAGCCACCCTGTATAGAGCTTCCAAACCTATACATCTCTGCAGGAGCAGAAAGCCTCATCATTCCCTCAAACAGCAGCTGGTGGACTCAAACCATAGACCTCTGGTTTGCAGTCCAGTAACTTATCCTTGTTGTTGTAAGTGCCATCGAGTTGGTTCCAACCCATAGAGACACCTGGTAGAGAGTTTCTGAGAAGCAGCTGGTAAACTTGAACCTCCAACCTTGTGGTTGAAACTGACTTTGCAATTCAGCACGTTAATCCGCAGTGCCACACCAGGACTCCTTTTGATGAATACTGGATGGAAATGAATGTGAACACATCCTCCCTGCTGACTATCTGGTGTGTCCTTTCACTTGGCAGCCAGGCTGGGCATAGTGCAGACACCCTTTCGTGGATATTAAAGGAGACTAATAACGTTGGAAATAGAGGCCATGCTGGTAGTCATCATATGCTGCTGCTGTGTGCCGTGGAGTCCGTTCCCACTCATAGTGACCCTGCACAGGGTTTCCGAGGCTGTACATCTTTACGGGAGCAGAAAGCCTCATCTTTCTCCTGTGGAACAGCTGGTAGTTTCAAACTGCTGACCTTGTGGCTCGAAGCCTGATTCGTAACCACTACGATACCAGAGCTCCTTAGTCTTCGTATTGTTGTTGTTAATGTGTCTTGGAGTCGGTTCCGACTCATAGCGACCCTGTACAGGGTTTCCGAGGCTGTAAATCTTTACGAGAGCAGAAAGCCTCATCTTTCTCCCGCGGAGCAGCTGGTAGTTTCGAACTGCTGACCTTGCGGCTCACAGCCTAATTCATAACCAATAGTCATCATATAGTAATGATAAAACCAAAAAAACCACACCCACTGTGATCGAGTTAATTCCAACTCATAGGGACCCTATAGGACACAGTACAACTGCTCCTTAGAGTCTAAATCTGTGTGTGGCAGCAGCCAGCCTCCTCTTTCTCCTCAGAAGCAGCTGGTGGACCTGAGCCATCCAAACCTGTGGTTAGCAGCCTAATGCTTAACCTACTATACCACCAGGTCTCTTTATAGTAGTGATTGTTGTTGTTAAGTGCCGTTGAGTCAATTCTGACCCATAGCAACCCTGATAGGGTTTTCGAGGAGCAGCTGGTATGTTTGAACCATCAACCTTGCGGTTCAAATGGACTTTTCGGTCCTGCGTATTAACCCCCAGGATCACACCAGGACTCCTACAGTAGTGATGTTGTTGTTAAATGTCATCAAGTCCATTCTGACCTATAGTGACCCTGTATAGGGTTTCCAAGGAGCAGCTGGTGAGCTTGACCCACCACCGCTGCAGTTCAAACCACTTTGTAGTCCAGCGCATTAACCACAGCGCCACACCAGGACTCCGTAATAGTGATAATACACACTTTAAATGTTTCCTGTGTGCCAAGAATTACATCATTCACAAACCAACAAATCACTTGCTATCAAGTGAATGCCACCTCATTGCAACCTCAAGTGTGTCAGAGTAGAGCTGTATGCCACAGGGATTTTAATGGCTCCATTTTTGGAAGTAGCTCACCAATCCTGGTGTGGTGCTGTGGATTAATGTGCCAGACTGCAAAGCCATTTGCATTGCAGAGTCGACGGTTCAAGCTTCCCAGCTGCTCCTCGAAAGCCCTATATGGGTCGGAACCCATTCAACGGCACTTCACAACAACAACAACACCAGATCTTCTAAGACACCACTGGGTGAACTCAAACCTGCAGCCTTTTGGCAAGCTGCTGAGCCTGTTAAACATCTGTACCACCCAGTACTCCGTTTCACTCAAGCCGAGTGTCAGAGACGGTTTTGATGCATAGCAATCCTGTATAGGGTTTCTGAGGCTTCATGTCTTCCAGGGAGCAGAAAGCCTCACCTTTCTCTTGCAGAGCAGCTGGCAGGCTTGAACCATGAAGTGTGTGGTTCACAGTCCTTAGGAGCTACATCACTCCCATTTCACTCATAGCAACTCCGTAAGACAGAAACTTGTCCCCATTTTACAGATAGCAAACTGAGTGAGGTCAGAGAGCTTGCCAAAGATCACAAGGCTAGTCTGAGAGGGAAAGCCTGAGGGCTTTTTCCCTGCTTAGAAAGTTAGACACACAGAGGTAGGTGGGGAGTGGGGAGGATGGGACTTAAGTTGGTGGTTGGGACTGTGACTAGTGTGGCCCTCCATTCCCAAGTGCACGGGACACCCCCCACATAACTGTGTGTGGCACCCAAACTGAATCCAGCCTCCCTAACAGGTTGTGGTGCCGCCCGGAGCAACAAACTCCTCTTTTCAAGTAACATCTCAAAATGTTGGACAAGTTACCATTTATCTGCACAGAAATAATTCCAACCAGACCGGGTATGTGGGCCTCAGCTCATCTTATGTGATACGGGAGGTGGTGATGAGGATGGGGTACTGGGGACACTTCCTTCAGAAGCCCAGCCTCAGCTGATCCCACTTCCCAAATTCCTTCCTAGCCCACGGATCCGCTTCTTGGTGGTCCACAGCAACGTGATTAGCATCATAGACCAGGTGGTTGGCTGGATCTACTTTGTGGCCTGGTCCATCTCCTTCTACCCTCAGGTGTTCAAGAACTGGAGGCGGAAAAGGTAACCAGCTGAGCTTCCTGTGCAGGTAGAACCCAGACATCTCAGCACTGGGCTTCAGACTCCTGCCCTCTGTTCTGCTCTCTTCCTGCCATTTCTAGAAAAGTGTCCTGAAACAAAAGCTCTCTCAAGTCAGTGATGGAATTTCCAATGCTGGACAATTTAGTCCAGCGAAGTTTACTCCTCCTCGTATCCCATCATAAAGACACTTTCCCAACAGGAAGGGAGGGACGAAGACCTGGGGGTTTCCAGGTTCCAATCACGCCCTTCCGGCTGTAGGAGACAGGTTGTCTGGCCAACAGCACTAACTTTAGCTCTTTACCTTTTAATGATGAAGTCAAATAGGAAGTGGCCTCCACTACTGAATGATACAGCAGCTGTGATAGGGAGTCTGAATTTAGATAAAGGTCAAAGGTAACAGGTCAACAGCAAAGAGGAGTTTGGAGCCCATTGTCAACTGATCCCCTGAGAGCAAGGACCAGAACAGGTTGGCCTAGTCACCACCTGGCACCCTTGGAACCCAGGGCTCAGCCTGCCCTAGGGATGTGAGATCTATATCCTTCCCAAAGAACAAGCTTCCCACCTTGTGGGATCTCAGGAAGGAGGGTGTCGGGCTCAGAAGGGTATATCTTCCTAGAGCATGTTTGTGTCAGCCTCTGAGATGTCCCTCCCACAGCACAGCAGCTCTGTGAGGCTGGAAATGCCTTGTTTTATAGACAGGCAGTAGAGCAGCCGGAGTAACTGTGACCATAAGGTCCCGCACCTACGTCTGCATTCTTATCCACAGTGAGCTAGTGGTAGGACAAGGATACAAACGTAGGTCTGGGACCCCCAAAGCCATGACCTGGACACCGGGGCAGAGAGTGCTTTGGGACCTGAATACATTGAACACAGCTCCAAGCTCCCAGCAGCCTGTGTTATCCCATTCACAGAGCTTTTCTCCTTAGGCCATGGGGTCCCCTGGGGTTCCTAGCCTAGTCACTGTAGAAGGGAAGGCAAACTGCCTGCCAGGAACCCCCACCTCTGCCCCTGTTCCCTGGGGGGCCTCCTAGAGTCCTGGACAGCCACCCTCACCTGGGCCCTCCGGCCTGCCACACCCACCCAGCTAGAGGTAGCCACAAGGCTGTGGGGAGCTGAGACTTGGAGCAGTCATTGGATGCAGTTCCAAGTCTGGGTAGTTTATTCCAAGTCTGGGCCTGTGTGTGCCTGTCAGAGACACTTGGCACGAACTCTAGGGTATGCTGGAGAGTTCGGGCTCGGAGCCTGTGCCTATCTGCTCTGCACCCAGGCCTCACCTTGGACTGGTAGGCTTGGTGAGCAGCGGCTGACTCCACTCTCCTTGGGTGTTTTCCAGTTGGAGGACAGAGCCAAGTGCATGGCCCTCCCACCAGACTTGGGCCTCTTCCTGCACTGACCTCTGTCCATCCCACTGAGCAAGGTCTTTGTGCCTTCCTATCTCACCCCATACTCTATGCATCTCCAGAGCCAATCCATCTTCCATCCCATCCACCTGTCTCAGCTCTGCCACTGTTCAAAGCCCTGCACCACTGTGGCTCACCAGACTTCCACCCTTATATCCTAGCTGGGCCCAGACTTCTCTTGCTCCCTGTTCACCCAGTGTTCTCACTGAAACCAGAGTGGTCTTTTCCAAACCCAAATCTCATCTTGTTGCCTCCAGTGTCCTTCCCTGGCCTCCCTCCCTGGCCTTGCTTTATCTGCTCCAGTCACCCCCAAGCTACTCACTCTGCCTAGAATGCTCTTCCTATTCCTATTCCCCTCCCCCCACAGCTGCTGCTTGAAGGAGTCACTCCTTCAAGGAAGCTTTTTTGTGACCTCAAACCCCCACCCCTGGTGGTTGAGGACTTCCTCTGTGTGTGATTGTTGCTTCTTTGCCACCAACTAGGAGGGCACGGGTGTGTCTTTCTCACCAGCTCAAGAGCCTGCTAAGACTTGGGATATTGTGGGTCCTCCATGAGTATTTTGGAATGAGCCCACCTGACAGGGTTTCTGTGATAGGGCATAAAGTAGCTCTTTGGGCTACAGTGGCTAAAAGGTGTTCCTTCCCCACAGTTCTCTGTAGTTTCCTCTGTGAGAAATGCGGGTCCCTGTCCCCGTGGGCCTTCTAGGGGCTATTGAACTGGGAGCCCGAGAGGGACCTGCTTCCCTTCTCTAGGAGGCCCCAGACTCCCTGACTTAAGGAGGCTCTCCAAGGGCAGCAGTGGGGGCTGGGACTGTGCTCCCCGTGTCCTTCTGCATCTCCCATAACCCCAGGCCTCACCTCCCATCCTGCTTTGCCTCTGCCCAGCGTCGTTGGTCTGAGTTTTGACTTTGTGGCCTTGAACTTGATGGGCTTTGTGGCCTACAGCGTGTTCAACATTGGACTCTTCTGGGTGCCCTCTATCAAGGTATGACCCTGCTTGCCCCTCTGCAGCCTGGCCCAGCTGTGTGGTGGCCTGGCTGCCCCTCACTCACCACCCAGGTTCTCCCCACACCCCTCATAGGAGCAGTTTCTCCACAAATACCCCAATGGCGTGAACCCCGTGGACAGTAATGATGTCTTCTTCAGCCTGCACGCCACTGTCCTCACCCTGATCGTCATCCTGCAGTGCTCCCTGTATGAGGTAAGGGAGGGTGCTCAGTACAACTGCAGGCTCCGTGCTCCCTGTACGAGGTGAGGGAAGGTGCCCCATGCTCCCTGTACGAGGTGAGGGAGGGTGCCCCGTGCTCCCTGTACGAGGTGAGGCAGGGTGCCCACTACTACTGCAGGCTCCATGGAGTGCCATGGGAGCTAAGCGTGTGGACCTTGCAGTCTAGTCTGCAGGAGCAGGAGGCCCTAAGCGAGCCAGGTGGGAGGGCAGAGGGCAGCTGAGTTAAGCTCCCCTAGAGATGGAGAAGAGGGGAAGGGTTGCAGGCTAAGGGGCATAGAGAGGAGCAGGTTGGGGTTCAGGGTTCCCATGGTGGGGGGGGCCCCAGCGTGTAAGCCGGGGAAAGTGGTTTCAGCTCTTCTTTCACTGCCCCCAAAGCTGCTTCCATACCCCTGGGCCGTTGGCCTCTACTTGGGAACTGCTAGGATGTCTTCACCTTTGCTGGGAAACCTGTGGGCAGAGTTCCACCTTAGGGTGGGAGGAAAGGTACGGCTGAGATCACCAGGCTCCAGCCCTCTCCTCAGTACCCTTCCTCCTCCTAAGTGAGCTCAGAGCAGGCCCCCAGTTCTACAAAGTGGGAACAAAATGCAGGTGGGATCTGGCAATCTCCAAGATGGCCTGAAATGAAGAACCCTGGATGGGAAAGAGGATGCCATTGGTGCTGGGGACAACCCACTTGTGCCAGGCAGCCATGGACTGACTCACTCTGAAGTCAGCCCCAAAGCAGGTCTCTCTCAGAGGGCTCGCCTCCAGCCCATGCCAGCCGTCTTCCTAAAGCTGACCTGGCCCCTGACCCGCTCCCTCTCCTCGTCAGCGAGGCGCCCAGCGTGTGTCGTGGCCTGCTGTCGGGTTCCTGCTGCTCTCCTGCATCTTGGCGCTCATCACCATGGTGGTGGCTGCGGTCGGGGTGACCAGTTGGCTGCAGTTTCTCTTCTGCTTCTCTTACATCAAGTTGGCGGTCACGCTGGTCAAGTACTTCCCACAGGTATTCCAGGGCCTGCCTGTATTGTCACATGTCTGGCGGGCTGAGAGGGCCCTAGGTGAGGAGATGGGCTGGAATCCAGCAGGAGGAGTGCAGCCAGAGTCGGCCAACATCACTGCCACCTGCTCTTCTTGGAGCCCTAGAGCCTCACGAGGAAGCCTTTCCCCTTTTTCATGAGACAGTCTTTCCTCAGGCCTCCAGCTCTGCTACCTGCCACTGTCCCCCACCCCATTACCTTAACACCTGACACAGCATGACCATCAGGAAAGGTGGGAGGAGGGAGCCCACCACTGCAGCCCTCACACCATCCGGGGACTTTGTGGGCCCTCAGCACCCCTGTGAGAACTCAGCCTTGCTCAGATCCAGGCACTGAGCCTAGCACATCTTCTCCATAAGACAAACACCAGTGGCCCAGGACAGGGTCAGTTTTGAAAGAGCTGCCAACTGCAGACCTCTCAGGGCAGTGGTGGCTCAGTGGTAGGGCTCCCACCTTCCATCCAGGCAACCCAGGTTCAATTCCTAGCCAGTGCATGTCATGGGCAGCCACCACCCAAACTGTCAGTGGAGGTTTGAGTGTTACTATGCTGCTGAACAGGTGTCAGTGGATTCCAGGCTAAGACTAGGAAGAAAGGGCTGGCAACCCACTGCAGGAAATTAGCCAATGACAGTCCTCTGGATCACAGGGTCAGATCAGGGGCAGTGTTTTATTCCATTGAGCATGGGGTCTGCGTGAGTTGGGCGCTGACACAATGGCAACTAATAGCAGACCTCTGCCCCATAATCAAGAGCCTTGTATAACTTAGCCCATTCAGCTTCCCCAACTCTGGGCACTACGTGCTCATTGGGCCCAGAGGAAAGAGTGTGTTTTGGCTGAGGGCGTGGAACTATCTCTTAGGGGGGGGACGTGGAAGCAGAACCAGGTCCTTGGGGGTCAGCACGACTCGACTGTGTGGACAGGAAAGAAAGGGGCAGCCTGCACAGAGGCACAGGCAGAACCTGTGGGAGTGGCAAGGAGCCCGTGGTGGGCTGAGTGGTTGTGGGAATGGTCGGGCAAGGAAGGCAGGACCAGCTCCAAAGAGCTGGGACAATAGGGGGGGGGGGGGCATTTGAGTAGTGCGATGTCGAGACAAGTGGGCCTCAGTCCCTGCATGTGAGAAGGCTTGGGGAACCTAGAAGCCAGGAGCCCTCAGCTGGGTGAGTTTGGAATTGTCTAGGACAGGTGGGGTGACAGCAGCAAATATGGAAAAGAGGGAGAGAGAATCTAAGGGTAAAGAAGAAGGCCTGGCTGGTGGCCAACTAAGACAAGACCACCAGGGGGTAGGAAGAGAGGGTGTAACTGTCAGTGTCCCCTGGGGGCACTGTGATCCTGGGGGATGAAGTGGGGCCCAGGCAGCAGGAAGAGTTTGGGGGATCCAAGAGTTATCACAGCCTAGTCAAGGCTGAGATGTGAGTTGACTCCTCTCAGTAGAGGGGGGAACTGAGGGAACCCAGCTCAGATGGGGGTCCTAGGATCCTTCAGCACAATACTAGACCAGCCTGGAGTCCCCAGTGTGGGGAGAATGCAGGTAAGAGGCAAAATCAAACTTGCTAGAAAACCAGGCTACAGCTCTGACCCCGAACTAGGACTGATGTGAAGCTCAAGAGGGCAGTGCCCCCTCCACTCCCTGCTGGCATTGAGGGGTGCAGGGCTGGAGGGAGGGGGCTCTGTTTGCTGTGCATACAGATGAGATCCCAGGCCCAGTTGAAACTGTTGCACTGACCAAGGCATATCCGGCCCCAAAGGTCACTGTGTTCCTTAGAGCCAAGGCTCGAGTCTGTGGGTGGGAGGAATGAGCCACTCCTGTGTGCAGCAGTCACAGGGGTATGAGGCAGCTACCCAGCCCCCTCACCACCCTGTCTGTCTGTTTGCCCAGGCCTATATGAACTTTCATTACAAAAGCACCGAGGGCTGGAGCATTGGCAACGTGCTCCTAGACTTCACCGGGGGCAGCTTCAGCCTCCTCCAGATGTTCCTCCAGTCCTACAACAATGGTGAGTCAGCCTCGGGCCACCCACCCACCCACTGGGCTAGAGGTGCCGCCCCCACCCCTGCAGCCTGCAGATCCAAGGTGGGACTCCTGCACAGGGCAGCGGGTACAGCTGTGGTGTCCAGGGCACCCCCACCCCCCACTGTGCTCCAGCTGCTTAAGGAGAGGTCAGCCTCTATCCAGATTCTGCCCCCTCTGACCCTCCACAGACCAGTGGACGCTGATCTTCGGAGACCCAACCAAGTTTGGACTCGGAATCTTCTCCATCTTCTTTGATATTGTCTTCTTCATCCAGCACTTCTGCTTGTACAGAAAGAAACCAGGGTACGACCAGTTGAACTAGCACCCGGGCACTCCACAGAAACAGCTCAGGCCCTGGGCCCCAGTTGGGGAAGGAGCCTCAGCGAAGGCCGGAGACGTGGTCTGGAACGCAGGACTGGCTGGAGGCCAACCTGGGCCCACCTTAAACACCAACCAGTCTGCCTTCATCTCCCTGGGACAGACACCTGACTCTGCTCCAAGACTCAAAGCCACTGGCAGCCCCTGCCCAGCCTCCTCAGGGGTCTCAGCCCCCATCTCTCTTCTCTTTAAGGCTTCAGGCCGCATACACAGGTTCCGACAGCCGTCCCAGGCAAGATCGGGCAGTGAGCTTGGAGCAGAGGGCCTTGCCCTACCTAACAACCAGTGTTTCTGGGAGCAGCCTGAAGGGCTGACCTTGCGGCCAGGAGAACAAGCAGCCAGTGGACCCTGAGGTGCTGGTGCTGGTGCTGGTGGTGGCGGGGCTAGGACTTTGGGATTAGGCTTGGGGTCCTTCCTCTGAAGACCACATTCTTAGAGCACCCACATTCCTGACCCAGCAGCAGTAGCTGGCAGACCAGGCCAGGGCCTGGTAAAGACAGTATTTCTCATCCCCAAGCCACACACCAGATTGATTCTGGATGGGACCCTGCCTACTGCCTTCTGGGTCTTGCTCACATAGGGTCTGATGCTCACACTAACCCTTCCCGGGCTTTTGGAAGGAATGGCTGACTTCCTCATGCCCTGTCCCCAGCCAGGACCTGGACCATGGGAGCCCCTCCTGCACCTTATCTTGTGCCTAGACTGCAGGACACACACACACACACCTAGTCAGTGCCTTAGAGGCCTGTTACCTGACAAAGGCAGGCCCCCACCCTCACTTACCCAAGGCCCCATGTACCATTTTTGTTGGCTGTTCAGGGACCTCAGATAAGGACTTGAAACCACCTCACACTATCCTCCCAGGGCCCGGTCCTGACCCAAGGTCTCTCCCTTCCTACACCGTTGTGCTTCTGTGGTGGAGGAAGTGGGGGGGAGGCGGGGGGTCCTGGGATGTGCCTTGTACTTGCCTCGAATCTGCTGTAATCTACTTTTCAGACTTTTTTTTTTTTTACTACAAGGTCAATGTAAAAGGCCTGTCTCCTTCATTAAAGCCTGGCTCATCTCTTTCCTTCTCGCGCTTAGCATTTGCTAGGTGCAGGAGGAAAGGTGTGTTGGGTCTGAGAATCCAGTCTTTACGGCCTGACAAGATGACATGGCCTCACAAACTTTTTTGTAAGGTAACACATAGGGTCATGAAGCTCACTGGTCCCGGTGGTGGCTGTGCACTGACCCAGCACTTTGTCAAGCGGAGCCCTCGGCTCGGGTAGCACAAGATGCCTGCTGGCTCCAGGGCCTGGCCAGGTAGGTCTCTCAGGTACTGTGTTTTCCTAATTCCCAAGGACAAGCAACTGAGGCTGTGGTGTGCACATGAGGTAGGTTGAGGCTTTAACAGCATCCCTCCACGGACAGAGGTGTTTCATTTCCAGTCTTCCTCTCCCCGGTTTTAGGGTCTGGTTTCCCTCTACAGCAGAAAACAGCAGCCAGACCAAATCCTCAGACCTTTCTATCTGGGCCACCCAATGGGTGTTTTGTTTTTAATTTTGGTACTACGGGGTCCTTCCAATTGCGGGGGAGGGAGGCCACACTTGGAAAATAGGAGCTGCCACCTGAAATTTCAAAATTTTGTTTTTTCTTGAAGAAATATATTGTGGCAGTGCAAAGGGGGTGGCCTTCCTGCCTGGCAGCAGTGTCTGGGGCTCCCACTTCACCCCTACCCACCCCCCAGCCAGAGAGCTCAGCCCCGAGAAAACAACCTCCTCACAAGAAAAATACCTGCCACCCATGACCCTGATTGCGATTTTCGACTCAGCAACCCTGTATAGGGTTTCCAACAAGAGGGGCTGGTGTGGTGAGCAGTTCAGAGCTTATCTTAAAGTGACACACCAGGAACCTTTGCAACCACTACCACCAAGTCAGTTCCAACTCACAGCGACCCTGTAAGTAGTTTCCAAGACTAAATCTTTATGAGGGGAACCAAGCTCCGCTGGTATTTGAACTACTGTTAGAATCCCAGCTCCTAGTACGGTGAGTGCTCCTAAGGGTCCTAGTGTGGCACTTTAAGATAAGCTCTGAACTGCTCACCACACCAGCCCCTCTTGTTGGAAACCCTGTACAGGGTCGGTGAATTGGAACCAACTCAACAGCATTACAGCTCCAAGGGTTAGGAACAGCAGGTGTTCTTCCCATGAGGCCCCTCCTAGGTAGGAGCTGATGGTTAAGTGACACCGGGGATGTTGGAGGCTCATAGGAATCCACAGTGATGTCCCAGAGTCCACACACCAGGCTCTCCAGTTTTTTGAAGATGTTCCCAGGCCTCCCCTCGTCGCTCCTCTGTCCCCAGATGTACTTGCCAAGTACACCGTGTTATCACTGGTGCACCTTAGGCTCCAACACTTTCCAGACTGGCGGACCTGGGAGTAGCTGGACATCCCCCTGAGCTGTTGCCTCCAACCCACCCCAACCTTCCTGACCCATGCCCCAGTAAAGACCTTTGTGAGTCTCGGCGTTGTTTATTAGCAGGCGTGGGCTGCATCACACAGTCGGTTTCCACAGTCACAACAGTTAGGCTAATGAACTTGCTGGGAGGGTCATTGCCCCAGATGTGACTTAGCTGAATTCCAAAGTAGAGTCGGCATCTCCAAATAGTAAAGTAAAAACACTTTGTATCAAAATTGTGATTAAAAAAAATACAAAAGTTATACTCTCAGGCAGAGAGGAAATTTGCAATCCTGAGAGCTGCCCTGAAATGTCAGCCTTGAACTTCATCTAGATCCTGTAAAGCTGGTGAACCCTGGGGGGAGGCCAGCATCCTCGGGGGAGGGGGGCTGGAGGGGGTGGCCCTCCGCAGTGCCTCTGTCTGGTAGAGGGCAGCAATTTCCCCACTGGGCAACGTGGGGAAAAGCACAGACAGGGCACTGGGAGCTCAGACACAAGGGCAGGACAGAGCCTTCAACCAGGGCAGAGGGTGGGGAGAGGCCTGGCCCTGCCTGTTCTTTCTTGGCATTTTGGCAGCTCTCAGGAAGGGTGTCTCCCCACTTCCCTGGACCCTGCAGAGGCCAGGCAGCAGGGCCTGGGGGCTGAAGCTGGGGACCGCTGCAGACTGGCTACAGCTCAGCTCCAGGTCCTTGTTTCCAGTCATCAGTGTCCAAGGGAGGGAGCTGGTCTCAGCCAGGAGGAGTGAAAGAAGGCAATGTTGGATGAGCCTCCAAGAAAGGCCTTTTGGACAGCTCTGCCCTTCTGAGCTGAGGCCCGGCACTCAGCCGATGCCAAAACCAGGGGCAGAGCTGTAGGAGTAGTGTCACGGTACAGACGTGGGGGCTGCAGCGGGGGCTACGACAGCATAGACTGCTGCACAGCCTTCTGCAGCGATTGCCGCGTCACCAGCAGGCGCACCACCTCTTCAGAGCGCTTGGTGAGCCGCTTCCGGGCCTGGTCATGGGTGACCATGGTCATGTCCCATCCATTCACCTGGCCCACAGAGAGAGCAGAGCCTACCTCAGCTCCCTGACCCAGGAGCTCAGGAAGCAGGGCAGGCTTGCGGGGAAAGGGGTTGTGAGCTTCGGTCACCCAACCAAGCCCCTAGGCTGAAGGGGACGCCAAGCATGGCGGCTGAGGCATGCCAAGGAGAAAGCACTAGTTTCCTCTGGGGGCATAGCCAGCATGGGCTCCAAGCATCAGTGCTGAGTCTCTCCATGGTGCCCTGAGGGCAGGGAGGCAAGGATCACCCCCACCCCCAAGGGCTTCAGACACTCTTGCCCTGGATTTTTTTCTTTGGGACACCTGTTACCTGCATGATCTTGTCTCCAATCTGCAGCCCAGCAATTTCAGCAGGCCCGCCCTCAGACACCCGGGTGACATAAATGCCCTGGAAAGAGACAGCCCGGGTCAAGGACTGCGGTCTATGGATGGACTGACCCCTTATCCTTGGAGCAGAGCCCAGCATGACACCCTCTCAGCCATGTGTCTGTCACTCTACACAGACTGCCCTGGGGCACAGAGCCAGTGAAAGCTGTACCCTGCCAGCTGGGTGAAAAAGCCTGGCTGTCCCAGGGGGCGGGAGGTCTAAGGAGGGCTGGAGAGGGTCACTCCCCATTGCCAGCCCTACCTGCTCCCACCAGACCATTTCTTGGACCTTCGTAGAGAGAACTGTTGGGGAGAAATGATGTCTGCTCCTTTTACTGGAGCCAAAGCAGCAAAGACCCACCATCTCAGGCCTCCATGCCCCTCAGGGAGGACCCACCCTGGCCTCTCCACCTCACCTTGTCTGTCTTATCTTCTGAGAAGGGATTCTGGGAGGGGTCCTGGTCAATTCCACCTCCAATGCTGAAGCCCAGGATTAAGTTCTCACCTTGACGAAGCTTGTGAATTTCAACTCTTTGCTGGCAAAGAAATAATAGGGGGTGTGAACAAATAATAGGTGGAGAATGATCTGGTTTGTGTCCTCAGCAGTGGTCTGGGGGCTGCTCAGAGCCAAGGTCCTCTCCAAGAACCCAGCTGGTCACCAACCTGGGACACTGAACAGTCTGGACTTGGAACTCAGCCATAATTACCCACCCTTTATGGGTAATTACGGCTTCTGCCCCCAACCTCTCCTCAGGCACTGGCCAATCCACATGTGCTCCAAACCCCTCCTGAGGGGAGGTGCCCTATTACGGCAGGAGGGGGGTCAGGCCCTACAAAAGTGTAGGACAGATGCTCCGGAAAGGTAAAGAAAAGGAAAACACACAGGAAAGAGAGAAAACACTTGGCTAAGCAAAGGGATGAGAAGATGCTGTGGTTACAGTTCCATGAGACTGGTGAATATAGCACACAGCAGAGATCTGGGAGGTAGGATGAGGCTGAGAGATGGAGTCTCCCGCTGTGTCAGACCAGCCCCCCAACAGTTAAAGCAGTGTTCTAACAAGAAGAAAAAGCAAGAGTCAACTTGAACTGCACCTGAGCCGCTTCACAAAGGAAGGATCATTTGCACTAGACCTTAAGGGGTAATGAGTAGTTTGACACTGGTCACCTGAGCTTCCTGAATTGGGCAGGGTAAGCTTTAGAACTCAGGGAATCCAAGGGAACGGGTGTCTCAGAGAGACGAGGACTTGTGAAATTAACAGACATAGGACACTGCTCATGGAGAAGCTGGGAGTCAAGAGGAACACCCCTGCTGCCAGGCCTGACTACACACAGCACCACTGAGAGGGAGCCCAGAAGGCAGGAGATCCAGGGAAGAGATGATGAGCATTTGCAGTGAGTGCAGGAAGTAGTCAGAGTTTAGAGAAGAGGCCAGATGGTTTTGACAGTGTCAAAAGATTTACCTGGGGGAAGCCTCCCTAACCAATCCCCAATCTAAGACACGAGGAAAGGCCAGATCCCTTCCATCAAGTTGAGACAAGAAGACAAAGTTCAGAGAGGGTGGGAATGTGTACAGGATCACACACCCAAGCCAAGGTCCTAGTATTGTATTTAGGGGAAGAACCAGACCACACTTTAACGACTTCATGGTCCTACAGCCTTGAGGAAGACCCAGGGATCAGTCATGACTTAGGGGACAGGAAACATTACCCGGAGACCCACTGGACTTGGGTTCTCATACCCACAAGTGTGAGTTCCTCCAGGGTGCCCCCCCCCCAACACTTCTGCACCCACTCCTAAGGTCAAAGCATGCAGGCCCTTGGGCTAGGAGGCAGGGCGGATCCACTCACTGACTTGCCAGGTGAGTTCAGGCAAGTTCTTAACTACTCATTGGCTCCTCACCTGCTCCAACTTTTTCCAGGATAGAGCAAACCTGGCCACTTTTCTCTCGAGCAGCTTGTTTTCGTGCCATCAAGTCAGTTCCAACTTACAGCAAGACCCTATATAGGGTTCCCAAGAAGCTGGTGGATTTGAACCACCGGACCTTGCAATTCAAACAGATCTTTCATCTAGTGCTTATCCTACAGCACCACACCAGGACTCCACTGGGATAGCTCTTTAGAAATTCAAAACAATGGGGAGACATGCCTGAGGGGCAAATGGAAGTAAGTCTCAGCCCTGGGGCCAGAGAACTGCCTGGTATTCCTAGGGGTGTGCCAGGGAGCTCTGGGTGTGCTGCGCCGGCGGGAGGGATCTGGAAAAGTTGACGTGGTGCAGGCAGGGTGAAGCTAAAGACAGCTGTCAGCAGGTTCAGCCTTGCTTCCTGGTAGCCTGGGCTGGTGCGCTGTACTCACCCTCACATGCCACCTTTATCAGTGGCTTCTTGCCTGACCACAGTGCTCCCAGGCACACCCCTAGGATTACCAGTCAGTCCTCTGGCTCCAGGGCTGAGACTACCAGCTGACCCATCGCCTGCCCGGCAGGCACTGCTCCCCATTTTCTGAAACTTCTAAGGAGCTAATAAGAGTCCTCCCTAATGAGCACTTGTTTTACTGCTGGGCACGCACAGACTTCTCTGCCATTCTATTGTAGCCACTTGCAGGTGTGGCATGCAAGTCCCAGACCCTTTCCTTCCCTTTTGCTTATTCTACTGGACCCTGGTGCCCAAGCCAAGCCAAAGGGGGGCCAGTTAGTTTCAAGTGCCGGGCGGGGAAGGCGCCCAGGGAAGGTTCTGAGCTGGTTCCAGCATGTGGTAGGAGCCTCAACTCGGCGAGAGTGGGTCCGAAGATGCGAGGCCGAACCAATAAAGAAGGGGCTGCTGAGCAGGCCCCTGACCAAACCCACTCCCCAAACCTCACTCCGCTGGGCGGCGGCAGCTGGAGCGGAGGAAGCACTTCCTCATTCCAGAGGCAGCGATTCAGGGGCCCACGCCCGCCCCCTGCGGCTGCCCAGCTGGGAACACTAAAGTCCGGGGAAGGCAGCAGCGTTTTCCCAGGCTTTAACAGTTGAGACCTTTCCCTTTCGTCCTGTCTCTAACCCGGGGCGACAGTGCGCGGGGCTGAGCGTGGCCCAGGATTTCAGGAGGAGCCTGAGACCCACGCCAGCTCTGTTTTATGACGGGGGAGGTTGAGGCCCCGCTCCCGCAGGACGTGGCCGGCGCCCAAGACACCCGTTTGCAGGAGCCCGGGTTCAGAGGTTTGTCAACCTGTTTGGAGTGTCAGTTTACTGCTCTGCGAAATGGGGACAAGTCTAGAAGAGGAGGAGCCCGAGCCCACTCAAGCGCACTCACCACCACCGCAGTGACGGGTTGGCCAGGGATGTAGGACATCTCGACCCCAATCCTGGTAACCAAGTACCGTTCCGTGAAACCCGCAGCGAAAATCACCGCGGCCGCGCCCTCTCTGGTTAACAAAGACAGCCCAGCTCGCTCCGCCCTCTCATGAATAGTAAACAATACTCTAGCCAATCACCATCTGCAGCGCTGTTCCGCTTTCGGAAGTCATTGTGCGTGCGTAGAAAAGGAGGGTGAGGGATGAAGAATACTCAGGACATCCACAGCGCAGGCGTTAGAGGGCGGGGCGAAGAGCTGGGCCTGCGCAGCCTGGGCTCTCCAACCCCCCTGTAGCGCAAGATGGCGCCACGGGGACTCGTATCTTTACCTATCTGAGGAAACGCTAAGTGACTTGTGTCCACTGCCGTGTTCCAGGTAACTGGGCGAGCCTGGGCGGGGAAGGTGAAAGCGCTGCATCTCCCCGGTTCTCTCGGAAGCTCCAGGAAGAGGGGGCGGCGTGGACCCAGCTCGCCGAGCTCGGGGCACCACTTGTAACTTGCTTTTCTTCGCAGCTCCGCGAGCAAGCAGAAGCTAAATCCTGGCAGATGCCATGGCCGCTGTGGTGGCCAAGCGGGAAGGGCCGCCGTTCATTAGCGAGGCAGCTGTGCGGGGCAACGCCGCCGTCCTGGATTACTGCCGGACCTCAGTGTCAGCGCTGTCCGGGGCCACGGCCGGCATCCTCGGCCTCACCGGCCTCTACGGCTTCATCTTCTACCTTCTTGCCTCCGTCCTGCTCTCCTTGCTCCTAATCCTCAAGGCGGGAAGGAGGTGGAACAAATATTTTAAGTCCCGAAGACCCCTCTTTACAGGAGGCCTGATTGGGGGTCTGTTCACCTACGTCCTGTTCTGGACGTTCCTCTACGGCATGGTGCACGTCTACTGAAATGGGGGCCGGGTGCACATAGAAGCTGCCCTGCCGTCGCCAGAAACTAACACCGTGTAGACTGACTTAGTTTTTAAATGGTTGAATTCGCTGCTTGTTCTGTAACGTTATAAATCACTTAGATCTGAAGACGAAGAGCCTGTACTGTACTCATTCTTCAGATTAAAGGAAGTGTGAGACGCTTTGTGGGGTGTTTTCCTACCTTCCTGCACTCGCTGTTTGCCCTGGCGAATCACCCAAGATCTGCCTCCCGGGTGGCTGGGACTGGGCCTTTAGTCTTCTGTCATTTCCATTTAGGGATCCTGAGAACGGATTCTCACAGAAACGTTATGGAATTACCCCCTTGTAGAACCAGAGGCTCAGAGAGGTTAAATACCTCTGCTAGGATGCACAGCTAGGAAAAGGCAGAGCCAGGATGTAAATGCAGACTTCTTCAGGGCTCTGGCTTCTTCAGTTGTTGTTATGTACCGTGGAGTCGGTTCCGACTCATAACGACCCTGTACAGGGTTTCCGAGACTGTAAATCTTTACGGCAGCAGAACGCCTCATCTTTCTCCCGCGGAACAGCTTAGTTTCGAACTGCTGACCCTGAGGTTCGCAGCCCAATTCATAACCACTACGCTACGGAGCTCCTTGGCCACCACTATTTCTTGCAGGTATGAATGGTGTCAGTTCAGTTCCATGTCACCTAGTAACCACTGGCTGGCTTTTCCATAAGAAAAAGTCAATTCAAGCCTGTTTATCTAGAATATTTCTAGTGGTGACTAAACTGAGACAAAGTGTAAGCTAAACTTTGGGCTTTATTATGTAAATCTGTGCATATGCCAGTTGATGTTCCCATCTTGGGAGGAGGGCTATCTTAAAACCCATTTGGTTTACTAAATACTGCATTGGAGTTCTAGTAGTGAACAAATTGTTCATGGAGTATATTAACTGAGGGCCAACATCACATAATTTCACAGATATCAAAAGTTTGTGGGAAAATGGCGTTTTCTGGACAATGGAAAGTAGTGTATTAGTCCTGGTGTGGCGCTGTAGGACTCCAAAGTCGGTTTTGAACTGTGCCTATGAAAACTACAGGGTCGGTATGAGTCAGAACCAACTCAATGGCACTTACCAACAACAAAGTGCTAGGAAGAGAGTACAAACCACACACAGTGGGGAAAACCACTGACAAGAAAGGCTTCCATGAGACCAAAGATTAAATAACAGCTTAGTAAAGTCCTGATGTGTAGGATAAGCGTTGGAGACTGCTAATCACAAGGTTGGTGGTTCAAACCCAGCAGCCACTCCTTGGAAGCCCTGTACAGGGTCACTGAGTCAGAACTGACTCAGCACTCAACAACAAAGTGTGGGGAAGGGTTTATTTGCAGAAAAAGAGAGAGTGGGAGCCGTTGGGCAGGAAAGAGTTTGGCCTGTATCGGGAGAGTAAGAGTAACAAGTCCTGGGGTACACTTGGGTAGGTCATAAACCTACTGCCATCTGCCCCAAGTCAGCAACCTATACAGGGTTTCCAAGACTAAATCTCTACCACCAGCCTCATCTTTCTCCCATGGAGTGACTGGTGGATTTGAACTACCAACTTTATGGTTACCAGTCTTAACAGCTACCCCACAGTGCCACCAGGAATCATACCTATAAAAATGGCATGGAGCGAGAGCTGACCTCTAACTTCACAAGGGGAAGAAAACACTCAATAGCCCAAGGTTGATTTCTTTATGAGGCTGTGGTCAGAAAATGCCTCTACCCACCAACTTTAATACCAACTCTGACACCAACTGTCTTTCCCACTGCACTGTGCTGGCTTTGGTTCCATAAATGTGTTGCAGATTTGTTGCAAAGGCCACATTGAACTCACTGGCAATACTGTGGTTTATTAGCAAAGTAACAGGTTCAAGAAAACTCAGAATACTATTCTTTTATCAGGACAGCTGCTTCTCAGTTGTTCCCACAGGCCATCCTCTCTAACCTACACTTGACCCCTCAGCCTGGCCCCTGCCCTGCTTAGGCAACTGTTAACAAAGCTCTTTTAGCCAGTAAGTGCCCAGAGGTACTCAGTTTCCCCCATCTGTGGGCCTGGAAGCCTTGTGTACCATCTGCTGATCTGCCTGCATCTATGAGGTACAGGGATTATGGGTCCAAAGGATCCGCTCTGCTCCCAGCTCTTATAGGTAGTGAAGCCCCTTCCCACCTCTGGGATGGCTCATTTTTAAGCCTAGCAGGATGGCAAAACTAACCAATCCCCTCATTAGAGTTCCATGCACCTTATTTGCATAGTTACACCCAGTCAATTGGTGGGAGTTGCAAAGACTGGCTAGAAGAGCCATATTTAAGTATAGTTTTTACTGCATTGCAAAGGCCATGTGGGAATTTAAAAGCTAGAAGCCATTGGGAATTTTATTCAGGAGTGTTGTGATCAGGTTTAAGTAGGCCTGAGAACTTGAATCCAAGCCCCCTTTTGTTGACAGCAGGTAGCCAGTGACAATAATGGAAATAGATCAAGGCTGGAGGCCTTCTGAATTCTATTTTGGATTCTGGGCCACATGCTTTGCCTCCCTTTCCCAATACCTCTGACCTTTCTTTATGCACCGCTGAAGATCTTCACACTTCAGTCTCACTGTTGTCTCTCAGGACCTTGTCTGAGTAGGAAAAGAGGGTGCATTCCTGGTGCCGAGAAAGGAGGGGAAAGATAGGGAACAGGTGAGCTTCTGATTGACCTAGGCATCCCCCTGTTGTTGGCCACTGGGGGGGATGTTCACCATCATAGAAGACATTACAATGAATGTCTTTAGATTGTTTTGAGGGAATTTAATAATTTAGGGCAGACGGTGAAAACCTGATACCAGATGTTTCCAGAGTTTGATCAGATTGCGCTCTTACTGAGATTTACCAGTTTTATCAGTGCCTTCTTACCTTTAACGTGGGAGTCCTGGAATAGTACCACAGGATAAAGCACTGAACTTCAAGGTTGATTTGAATTGCAAGGTCTGCAGTTCAAACTCACCAGTGCCTCCTCAGAGACCCTATATAGGGTTGCTGTGAGTCGGAACTGACTCGATGGCACTTAACCTTCAATTTTAGTGTTTGTTCATTTAAAGAGTAAAATGTTTCCTTCCTCTTATTTGAATTTCTTTCCAAGTTAACAAGGGACCTCACGTCTTCCTTACTGATTGTTTCTAGGGTCTGCCTCGTTTGGTGTCACTTTCTCATGCTTTCCCTTGTTCGTGATCATGAAAATGTACGCATGAAGACAAAGAAATCAAGACTTACATTTGGCACCTTTTATTGTTTTTATAACAAAGATGTCGGAGAGAGTACATGTATCGGGCAGATCCCAGAAAATGTTTGCCATCTTCCCAGTGTACTGTGTACTACTAGCCTGGAGGATAGAGCTGGCAGAAAAGAAGTCTTGAAGAGAAAGCATTTTGGGGTTCACAGGATAGTATGAGCCTTGGAAAGCGGCATCACTCAGGAGAACCACATGGAGCCCTTTTCCAAACCAAGGTGTCACTCCAAGTGCAGTGATATGGAGAGTCGGGGGCACTGTAGGCCTTAGCTGGGGTACTCAAGGGTACTTAGTATACCTGGAGGTTATCACTGCCCTCCTTTATAACCAACCCCCTCAGTGGAGCAGCCAGCCCTAAGAAACAGAACTGGAGGGAGGCAACCGTGACTGATAGTCATGAGGACCCTGGTGTCAGGAGTAATGGGCACTTTGCTTTTTCATAGAGGTCCCTGGGACACTACATTGATAGCACCCAATTGACTAATGTCCCATTGGCCAGCATCCTAGTACTCCTAAGGCATTGGATAACTTAATCAGTAGGAAAGTGGTAAGTGGGTGGATTTAGGCGAGGGCCAGACAGCTCACAGTGACTCCCAAATGATAACAGAATGGGAACGAGCTCCTGATGAGGCAGCCAGTGCCTACAAGGAAGGGCTTTCCCAAATTTGAAAGGAGCTCAAACCCTTTCGGCACTCACCCCCATTTAAAAACCAGTTTCTACAGGATTAATGAGCCACCTGTCAGGTACCTAGATTGTCATGACAACAACAGAAAGTGGGGCTTGGGGCAGCTTGGACTGTGCATAAAGCAAGGCAACCTTGGCAGAGTGTGCTCCTCTGTCCAGAGCCACAAAGGCACTGCTGGCCTGGGTGATTCTGGGTCCACAGGATGTAGTAGTGAAGGCTTTGCTCGACTTGAAGAAACACTTAGGCTGGACAAGTAATTACTCTAACAGTAATCAATGGGGCGGCCCTGATTTCAGTCAAGTCAACTTGATGGAAAGCAAGCCTCACAATGCCAGGACAGATAACAGGTGATGTGAAGCAGCGAGGTGTAGAGCATTTTTGTAACCATCCCGACACCCCCAGCCCAGCCTTCTCCCTCTGAGCTTATCTACCAGCCTTCACTCCCTGGAACGCATCGCCTGTCACCGAGTTCAACTACTAATCTTTCCAGTTTCAACTTACTACATCACTTCCTGGGGAAGCCTGACTCACCCCTACGCCTTATTGAAAACTCCCATAGCACCCTGTTCAGTTTGTGATACATGTGTAATTGAGGCTCAACTCCCCACGAGACAGGACAGGGGCCATGTCTGCGGTGCTCACACTGTCACCAGCATTTCCTCCATCATTTGACACAGCAGGTACTCAATAAATACTGAGTACTGAATGGAGAACTGCAGAAAACATTTCCATCCCAATATAAAATAGTGTGGTTGTGCCCCATTCTATGGTTACAGCAAAGCAATTCCAAAGGCAGGTTAAAAGAAACCAGACCAATGCCTAAGCAGCTTGGACGCAGATATGACCCCTGTCCTTTTTACTTCCACACATGAAAGTAACATGCTAGATTATAAAACCCAACATTTACATTAGGAAGCTAAACCCCAAGGGGATCACACCAACTCTTCACATTCTACCAGCACACAGGTTGGACTTGTTAACAGGTGACCAAATGACCTGAGGTGAGGGAGCTGCTTGCTCTAGAAGGTCTCCTGTGGGGACAATGTCCTCTGCCCCAGTGATAGCCTTGTCAGGGACTTTCTGCCAGAGAGCTTCCAGTGGCCCTTCTGCTGAGGAAAAACAGGCTTTTCTGACTAACGGAAGCCCCAGACAGAAGCCCTTCCTAAGAGGACACTCCGCAGCTCCAGGGAGCCGCCCAGACACAGCACCTGGGCCTTGTTGAGTCTGTCAAGACCCTTCAGCTGAGTGGTTCAGACAGCAGCGTGGTGGGTTTCCCACTTGCTAAGATACAGTGGGATGCAGAGGCATGAGCAAGCCTGACTGCCAAGCCTGGGATGGGAGCGTATTTCACCGTGTCCGTTTCTGACACAGGAGACTTGCTTGGGCTTACATGCAGGCATTGCTTGAGCGGGTTCTATGAAAAGTAGGGGTGTCTGGAATGGGGAACAGGTGGGAGAGAAGCTTTTCAATGTTTATTCTTTTGAATTTTTAATCATTTAAACAGTATCTGGGCAAGACATTTTCATTTAAATAAATTGAGCTTAATGCCACTTTGGGTGGGGGGAAGGGATGTTTTTGGTCTTAATGTAGTATGTGTGTAAGTCTAGCATAGAAATTGGTTCCACCTGCCAATGCTAGCCTTTTCTCTCCTCAGAACCAGGGCTCCTCAAACTTTAATGAGCTCACAAATCACCTTGGAATCTTGTTCAAACACTGGCTCTGGTTCAGTATGCCTAGGAGTCCCTGGATGATGCAAACAATTAACCCATGTTGGAGGTTCAAATCTATCCAGAGATGCCTCAGAAGAAAAGTCTAGAAGACCTACTTCTGAAGACTCAGTCATTGAAAACCCTCTGAGCACAGTTCTCGGGCACACATGTGGGTTGTTATGAACTGGAGTCAACTCCACAACCACCGGTCTTGTAGGGAGGGGCCTAAGTGCATTTCTAGCACGATCCCAGTAATGTCGATATTGCTGGTCCATGGGCTGTACTTAAGTAGCAAGGCTTTATAGACACGGTAGGCAGAGAAGGGTGAGGCAGCACCATCATCTCTCTAGAGTTTGGACTTCCTAACAACTGTGAGCACTTTCCCACCCATTACCTCATTAGCCCTTCATTAACCTTTCTGACCAAACCTTTGAGGTGAAATGGAGGGAAGCAGGTCAGAGACACCCAGCTCCACAGAGCAGCAAGAGTCAAACCACACAGGCCAATGCATCTCCCATCTGGGCAAGACAGTATGCCCAGAGCTCCCCAAGGCTGGGCAGGTCAGATGGAGGAGTGGTCTCCCTGCCTCCCTGGCCCTAGCTGACCTGGAAGCTTTGAAGTTTGCCTTTCTCCTTAAGAACCAGCTGTCTTTTCCCAGGTTGTCTCCTGGGGGCAAAACCAAATGTCCCTTTGGATGTTGGCCAAAAGGGCCTTTCTCTGTGGAGTCATCAGTGTCTACAGGGATTTGTAAATTCTCAGCTAGAGGTTAGACCTGGCTATGATGAGTCTGCTGGCTTTGGAAGGATTTGCACATGTGTTTTCCCCTCCCCAAGGGCCAGGCCAGCATCTCATTTAAGCATCTCTTGGACAGGGTCCAGCCTGTGGCAGGAATCAATAAATGTTTACTGCATTGAAGAATGAACGAATGAATGTCCAACCAGGTTCTCAGAAAAAAATTAAAGCTACCCAGACTCTGGCCTGCCCTCCTTCCCTAGGCAGAGCCTCACAGCTCTGAGCCTGTGTGGCCACTAGGAGGCTCCCCTCTGGTGCAGGAGAAAAGGTGGGCCAGGAAGGCCCTGTCCCCTGCCGGCACGAAGACTCCTCTTCCCACTTCATCTGCCCTCCATGTCTTCGTGGAATCTGCTCTCAGCCACCACCTCTGGCTACGTCTCCACTGTCTGCAGGGCCTGAAGTTGTTCCACGGTCACCTTACCTCTCCCCAGATTGCCAGACCTGAGGCGGGGGGCATAGATGAAAGAGAAGGCTGTTGGGGTGCCTTATGGTGCCCTGTATGCACATATTCACTAGCCCTTTGCAGGCAGCACCGTAGGCAGCCTGTCAGGGTCCCTGGCCACAGCCCAGACACATGTACATGAGCCATCTCAGCAATGAGCAGCGGCTGCCACAATGGCAGCCAGAGCCTTACTTGCACAGGACTAGGCCAGACTGGATCTAGCCAAGGCCAGCCCCCAGTGCCAGCAAGGCAGCCATTCCCCCTACAGCACTCAAGAAGCAACAGTCAGCCCCCCGGAAGCGCCACCATTTGGGGAGCTGCAAGACCCTAGCCCACTCCAGCCAGTCCTCTGCCCCCACCCCTTCCTGCAGGCTGCAGAGGATGCGCTACCTTTCCCACCCATCCTCTCCACTCCTGTCTATTTCTCACTCTCCCTGCCCAAGCCAGCTCCTGGAGAGTCACCAGAGTCACAGAGCCCTAGTCTGAGAACCCTACCCTATGCCCAGCCCCAACTAGAAAGAGGAAAACCAAGGTCCAGCAAGGCAGAGACAGGGCAGCCTGAATGTCTCCTAATTTCAGCCAGGGCGCCCTACCTGCAGGCTGAGATTGTATCTGCTGCTGGGCAGCGCCCCAGGGAAAGACAATCTGATGTTACCTGTCAGTCCAGCCACCACCCTCCTGTGAGCTGGGCAGCTCCAGAATTTCCACATAGATTTGAGAATTCGAGGAGTAATACTTGGGGGTGGAGGGAATGGGCCTTTGATAACACAGATAACCTAGCTATTCATTGTTAGTTATTAACCCATAATTAGTCTCGACAGAAGAAACGCCAGTAGCACAGTGGATTACAAATCGGGCTGCTAGCTGCAAGATCAGAGATTGCACCTACCAGTTGCTCCTCAGGAGAAAGATGAGGCTTCCTGCTCCGATAAAGATTTACAGCCTTAGAAACCTTATACAGGGTGGCTATGAGTTGAAACCAACTTGGTGGCAGACAGCCACCACCTCCTGGGTTCAAACACCAGGTCTGCCACTTAAGAGCTGTTTGACTTGGGCAAGTTGCTTAACCTTTCTGTGCCTCAATTCCTCATTAGTAAAACAGGTAATACGCTGAGAAGCATAAATGAGTTAAGAGCTACAAGACTAGAGCAGTGTGTGGCAAAGTTACATTAAGCGCAGTGCAGATGATAGTGTTGTTAGAGCTTCTGGGTCCCAGAAGACCTGCCTCATTGCCAGCTCAGCCTGAAGCAGACCAGTTTACTGGGGCCCTACCCAAGGTCCCAGGTTCTCTGGCTTCCTCACCTGGGTTGTGGGCACACGCAGCCGTCCTCCTTCAGGCCCCCGCCTCCTTCCAGCATGTTGTGCTCCGGCAGCTTCCCCTCGGGCTCCTCTCTAAGGCTCTGCTCCAGGCCCAGCAGTGCCCCAGGACCTGACCCCACTGCGTCCTTGATCTCCCAGGCCCCACTCTGCCGCTGGGACTCTTCCTGCTGGGTGCAGACCTCTTGGCCCCTGGGCAGGACACCACCTGTTAACCCTCATTAAGGCTGACACATGAGGTTCAAGATGGGTCCTGGAGGACCACCTGCCCTGCAGGGGGCGCCACCCTCGGCCATCCAGCAGCTGAGCCTGTGCTCCTGCCAGGTGATGGGTCAGAGAGTTGCAGCAGTTCTGTCTGCAAATGGAGGTTGTTTCATCTGGGGGAAGTGAGGGGTGTGGAGGAAGGGAAGGAAGGAGCCAGGCTAAGGGAGAAACCCAGCCACCTATCCAGTTTACCATCTGCTCCTCCAGAAATCCTTCCTGAGTAGCTCCGCCTTACCCAGCTCCTCCAGAAATCCTTCCTTAAGGGCTCAGACCAGAGTCTCCGCCCAGGGGTGGTTTCTGCCACTCTGAGTATACCCACCACTAGTACCCTGACAACCACTAAGCCTAGGGCCAACCCCACAGCTGGAGAGGGCCTGGAAACAGGCCCCTGCAGTGAATAAACAGAATGTCTTTCTCTCCTTCCTTTACCACTTCAGCTTCTCTCAACCCCAACCTACCAGGAAGCCTAAGAAGCACCGGAAAGCAAGATGCAGAGACCCTCAGAGATAACTTCCGGTTGGTTCCACAATCAAGTAAGTCACACACGTGTTTTCATTCCCCAGTGCCTATGAAGTTATGTCTGCACTCACACTGCGGCGTGTTGTGTGTGTAATAGCATTATGAACAAGTGTGAAATACGGAGAGAATGACCAGAATGTGACACACAGGCACGGAGTGGGCACATGCTGATGAGAAAATGGTGCCAACAGACTGCTCAGCGCAGGGTTGTCCCAAACCTTCAATTTGCAAGAAACACAAGATCTGCAGAATGCAATTAAGCCAACTCTCATTTGGAAGATAGAGAAACAGGCTAGCCTAGGCCTTTTTAGATATCACACATTGAGACAGTGGTGATATTTCAGTCCTCAGCCCGCAGCCTGGGACCTCACCTGAAGCTGGTCTTAGGCTGATTTGAGTCCCAGCTTTCTATCAGGTATGTACTCAGAACGTTCCACACTTTCCACCCTCCCAGCGACTGTAAGATACCCATGGCTACAGACTACCTCCATACCCCAAAGGAGGGAGACCGACAGAGGGGGCGCCCAGACCCCCTCGGGCGCCGGGAAAGCAGCATAACTGACCTCACTTCCTCGTACTTCTTGCCTCGGTAAAAGTGGCTCTTTTTGATGAAGTAGATGAGTACCAGGTCACAGAAGAAAGCCCCCTGCAAAAGAGTTGGGGTCCCTGACTCAGAACCCTAGATTGCAGAGAGCACCTCCTATGGGTTAGCCACTTAACATTCTTCATACTGTGTGCTCCTGCAGCAATCCCATGAGGGAGGGATTTGGGATTAAATTGTGTCCCCCACCCCAAGATATGCCAAAGTCCTAATCCCGGGACATGGGAGCATGACCTTGGTTGGAAATAGGGTCTTTGAAGATGTTCTCAGTTAACATGACGTCATAGTGGAGTCAGGTTGGTCCTAATCCAATAGGAACGATGTCTCATAAAAGAGAAGACACTTAGACACACACAAGGAAGAAGAAAGCCATGTGAGACAACAGGGCCCAGCCGTGTAACACGTTGATCCGGACTCGCAGCCTCCAGAACTGTGAAACAGTATGTTTCTGTTCCTACAAGCCAACACTTTGAAGGAGACATCATTGGCTCCATTTAATAGATAAGGAAACTTGTCCACGGCCACAAGGCTGGTCTGTGGTAGGGTCAAGGTTAGAATCAAACACCATTTGATACCCTGCACTATGCTGAGCCCTTTGGCAAGCGTTTGCTGATCCCCTGAGAAGTAGGGAGGTGCAGATACTGCAGACCCCTGGGGCTCTCCCCATGCTGCAGGAGACAAGTACATCAATCATGAGGCACGCTCTCTAATGGGGAGACAAGCAGGGGTGTCTAGGGAAGACAGGACTTTACTCAGCCTGGGGATTGGACATCTGGATGGGTTTTGAGGGCTGAACAGCATTAACAAGGTAAAGAAAGCTGGGGACAGAGCTAGGACCACCTGGGAAACTCCACAGGGACTGGGAAAGGGTGGTGGTTAGAGACAAACTCTGGATAAGTAGGTGGAGACAGCCTGAGTAGCTCCTCCTTACAATGTTGTGTAGCATCCGTTCTGGGCCTGACCCTGCTGCCTTCTGAGCAGAAATGGAGATGGAGTCATTGAAGGATTCTGAATAGTGAAGTGCCTCAAGCATTTCAGAAAGATCTCGCTGGTATTCTGTATGAGAGATGGACTTGGGGGAGAGGAGGGTTAGCCCTGACCAACAAAGGGGCAACTAGGAGAGCGAGCAAGGTCTGATCTAACTCAGCTGGGACCCACCACACCCGAACAAGGCCAATCAGTCCAAATCAGTTCATGCAAATGCCTATCTCCTCCACCAGAGGGCGACCCCACCCACAACACAGGGCAACCTGGGAAGTGTTAGTGGAAAGACAGAACTGGGGTATTCAGGGTGAAAGGAGGGTGAAGACCAGGCCAATAAGTAAAGCTGGGCCCCTGACCCCAGGTACTGCACACCTATTTTTTTGCCCAAATTCCAAAAATGTTATTTACCAATTCTTTGTTTTACTGCTCCCACTTCTCGACCCCCTCCCCTCTACTCCAGAGCCTCTACCTCCTCTTCCTACTGCACCATTACCTTCATTTCACGTGTGTCTCCTCTAGATGCCCTGTGTTCTGATTTTATAAGAAAGTGATGGCTGAAGATGGACCCTCTAAAAAGGTACATACCAGGGCTCACTTAGGAGGATAGATTACAGTTAAAAGGACTTCACTGGAACTCACTTCAATCTAACCCTTTCAGACACATGACTTCTAGTCCTGTTACCAAACAGAATTTTTTTGTCTCGAAAAAGTAAAGCCTAGTTCCTGACAGGCTCTCCAGTGCACTCTGCTGGCCATCCAAGAGGCTGCCAGAAACCTTGGAAAGTGGCTTCTGGAATGGGCACGGGCCACTCACTAATCATTGTCATGTCTTTAAAAGGAACTTTCAGAGGGCTCATCTATGGTGCAACAATTTGTCTCTCCCTATCCAGAGGAAAGGAGTCCTGGTGTGGCACTGTGGGTTAATGCGCCAGACTGCAAAGCCATTTAAACTGCAAGGTCGGCAGTTCAAGCTCACCAGCAGCTCCTTGGAAACCCTCTACAGGGTTGCTATGGGTCAGAACCAACTCGAAGACACGTAACACCAACAACATCCAGAGGAAAAGGATCTCTCATAGCGTAGTGGTTATGAGTCGGGCTGCTAACCTCAAGGTCAGCAATTCAAAACTAACAGTGGTTCCATGGGAGAAAGATAAGGCTTTTTGCTCCCATAAAGAATTATAGCCTCAGAAATCCTATACAGGGTCGCTATGGGTCAGGACCTACTCCACAGCACATCACTACCACCACCACCATCCAGAGGAAAGAAAAGTGAAAAGAATCAAAGACACATAGAAACAATGATTCCAGTAGACTAATGGACCACATGAA